TTTTGGGAAGGGGGGGGGGAATCAAGGGAACTTCGTTTGTTAACGGGTCACTTTTCCTACATTTCGATAAATAAATACATAAGTAAATAAATTAATAAATAAGTGGCCCAGCAACCTCCATCTGCACCCCCTCTCCCCTCTCCTCTCCCCCCTCCTCCGCCCCCCCTAGCCCTGAGTAGCTCTAAAACTTATACTGCGACCAAAGAAGTCCCTGATTTATGGAGTTTACTAATGCTAACTGAATACTGTCTGTCAGGCAGCGCTGAAAGGCTCTCCGCACTAATACAAGAAAAGGCTTTGTGTTGCTAAGCGATTAGAGCAGATGTAATGAGATTTACCCCAATCCTGCTTTGCCCTTTCCCTATCTTCAGTAAAATTGTGTGTGTGTGTTTTCTTTCTTTCTTTCTTTTGGGAGGGGGCTGAGGGGAAAAGAGAGGGAGGAGGTGGTGAATTTCTGAGCCTGCCTTATACATTGTAGCGAACAACAGCGTAACTTTGCCTTTAGTTTAATGAGTCTGGATATTTACTATTCAGAAGTGAGCAAAAAAGAACACCTGTCTACACAAGGAAGAGAAATTTCGCCTTTGTAACAGAATGAAACATTATCCTAATGTTATATTCATAGCTATAAATTACTGGCTACACTTTCTTTGCATACCTTATCTATACACTTGCGAAAGTGGGTAAATAAAAGAGGAGATGCTTTAAAGGGAGGATGGATGGAGACATATAACGGTTATTATTTTCATAACTAAACATTAGTTCCACGATCGGTTAAAACAATGAGTGCTTGTGCTGAAGTAATGAGGGATTTCGTGACCCCGGCCCCCCTCCCGATTAAATCACATATTGATAATTTCAGGGAAGGGGGAAGGAGACCAGGGCAAACTTAAACGTACATTTAAAGCAATGCAGAAAGGAATATACATTGCTATGTATACGTGTAGATGCATACATATGTATATGCATAGATATACACACACATATGTACACACACGCACTTCTGCAGTGCTCCCTCAAAGTTTTCCCTCCTCTTTTTTAAAATAGTGAATCCCTTGTAACTAGACGGTACGTTTGTATCTAAGCGGGCTGGATTTTTAACTCTGTAAGACACACTGGCTCTCCCCGTTCTTTGTTGGGTTTTTGTAAGATGCATTTTGCGCTTTGCTTTCCGCTTGGCTTGGTGCACGCAAACTGAATTTGCAAGTGATGCAGGAGCCAGGCGAAAAAGAGAAGGCGAATTCTGGTCACGTCCTTGCTAAGAAGAAAGTGCGGCATAAGAAAAAGGGGGGGGGGGGGGAAGAGTCCAATTTCTTTTTGAATCTTGGTAATTGGGTACTTTTACACGCAGATCACGCTATTTGGGTAGAATAACAAGCTTAGAAAGACCAGTGTCTCTGAGCTGCCACACATTTCTACTACGGTGCTTTATTTATTTATTTTATTTTATCTCCCTTCGCCTCTCGCTTCCCCTCTTCGCCCTACGATTTTATTTATCCAGCCGCAGCCGCTATCGTTGCAGAGGCAACAAAGTAGCCCTTTTTTTTTTTTTCTTTCCTTTTCGGTGGCGGTAGCTGAGCGATTCCCCATATTTTTCCGCCCCGCGCGGTCAGAGCTGCGGAGGACGGGGTCACAGCAGCGAAACGCGGCATGGAGCGCCCTCTTTTTAGGACTTCGTCTTTGGGGGAATTCTTGAATGTGCAGTGATTTCAGGAAGGACAATGCAATCATTAATCATCCCCTCGCCTTTTGATTTGGATACACATTTGCAACATAGAAGGGCAAGAAAACAATGGTGATACCGCTAGATCTTTGCATATTTATATAGAGATAAAGATATATATGATACATCCATCAGATACAAACACTTCATATGCAACTTAGCTCTGGCATAACATCATTTAACATTTTGTCCTTACATTCATTGTTGTCAATGGCAGAAAAAAAATTGCATGCAGTAGGCAGCTGATCATTTTAATTAAAAAAAGTTTTATTACGAAACTAGTTTGTATAAAACAGGGTTATACAGGACCTTTGTAAGTTTGTAATAAAACAGTAAGAAAAGGCAGTGGCATAAGTTTTTTTTGTTGTTTCCTTGCTTATTTTGCTTTTTTTTCCCCCAAAAGGCAGCATATCAAAACAAATGGCTACCATTTTGCGTTTGGACAATAGCTGCATAAACTTTGTTCACTTTGAACATTGTTTAATAACATTATTAATACATTAACAAAGTTTCTATAAAGTAAGACACGTTGGTGCTAAAGTACATCTGGAGGAAATCCAAGTCCTTTACAAAACCACATACAAAAATGGCAGTTGTAAGGTAATGTCGACTACACGTCTAAACAGGAAGAGGTAATAAGCATTACATATTAAAAAAGTATCAAGATATACACATTTTAAACCATTTGTACAAAACCTCTATAAATCTCTCTCTCTCTTATGTACAAAAATAGCTTAATATATCCCCAAACTGGTTAGGATAGATACGAATAGATTTTCTTATAATAAAAAAATTCACACAAAAAAAGATTGGAAGCATTCTATGATGAAAACGAGAGGAAAAGCTCGGAGCAGGGGAGCGACAGGCATGGGGCAAGGGGAGAGGGGGGGACGGGACGGGGGGACTCCGGGGCATTCTTTGAGTACAGCATAGCTTAATTTCAACATCTCCACAAACATTAGGAAACTAACTTTGTCCACAGAGTAAAGGAGGGCCAGTCTTTGAAGGGCTGAAACGGCCAGGGAAGGCAGAGGGGAGGCG